GCTCGGAGCAGGCGTACCTGGTTCACATTTGCGGCAGCATCGTCCAAGAAGCTCATAATGCCTCTCGCTGGAACACGGAAGAGGGAGCTGCAAAGTCACCTGAAAAGAACAGGGACATCAGATAGTGATTACATGTAAGTTCTTTCTGGATAAAACAAAAACTGACTCACCAAGTTACATTTCTATATAGCATAAGAAAATACCACAGACAGTTCTGAAACTGCTCTCTGTACTATCACCTCCAAAAATATCCCTCTCCTATTTCCTGCCCATTTTCCCCTAAGAATGTATAAAATTAACACTTGAGCACAGGCCTTGAAAGCCGTTTAGGCATGACAACCATTTAAATATTTAAAGCCATCTTAGTAATACTCATGGTTATGTGATAGATTAAAGGAAATTTACAAATCTTGCACAGTTTTAAAAACCACTTCGACAAGCCACGTACAAAATGAGTCGCACTTCCCCAGAGTCTGGCAGGTAACACACTCAGTCCATGCTGGTCACAGGAACAGAATAAGGCTCCATAATATGATTATACCAGGGGATACTGAATTTGGCCTCACAGTTTACGTCTAAATTTTAAAAATGTTCAATATTGGTTACCTTCTATAATGTTAAATGTGGAAAAATTTTTTTAAAGTGGGGAGGTGTTGTAGGAGTTTCATGGACTAGGTCCCAATTGCCTGAACATGCTGCCTAAGGCTTTCTGAGCCTCCAGTTCCTCTCTGGTTCAAAATAGTATGATTATAATATAAATACTAATTTCTGAATCTGCCTAAGTAAAACAAAAGAAAAGAAAACAGCCCAGGCCACTGTAATCACCCATAGATTCTTATCAGTCTGCTGCAGGAAGGCTCTTTTCCTCATCAGCATTCTCAGAGTGAGATAAAAACAAGTTTTGTTGATAAGCTCAGAAACTGAACAGTGAAACTAAAGAGCTGGGTTAGCTGAACAGACATCAGTTTACACACAATACAGTCAGGGTCCCGCTGGGTCCCAGGGATGAGAAGTTACAAACTTCCCCTTGAGGGGCTTAGAGTCCAGTGGTGAACACACCACAGGGTGAGTCTACATGGAGGCAGATGGCAAAAGGTGGCCAGGGACGGTTTTCCAAGGGAGCCTGTAAACCAGCCCTGCCCTACAGGATAAATAGAAGTCAGCCAGATGAGGAAACAGGCGGGCAGGCCGGCAGAAGCAGGGCTAGGGAAGACTTTTTAGACAGTGTGAACAGTTGAACAGGTCAAGCAGAGACAGTGAGGTCTGATCTTCAGCCAGGCTGGAGCCCAGTGTCACAAAGGCAGTCCGAAGAGGGCTTCCTGTCCTAGAGAGAGCTCAGATGGAGGGGGCAGCAATAATATGGCTTGGATGAAGCTACACGCCTTCAAAATGCCTCAGTTACAGAAGAAAGGAATTTTCATCAAGAAAGCACGAAGTCTAAGAGACCTGAGGCTTGCTGAGTGTGTGTGTGCCGGTGGAGGGGGGGCGTGGGCGGGAGGTAATGCAGCTAAGACAAACCTCTCTGAGCTCACCCTGGCCAGGGCCAGGCAAATGGCTTCCACGGAGGGCTGGGGGCTGACATTGCTAGAAGGTCCCAGTGTGTGCCAGTGGGATGATGCGTGCCAGGAAGGTCGGAGCTGGATTTGCTTCTGGGCCCTGCTGACACTTCACAGAGATACCAGTGTATTCCACAGGGTGACACAGGCTTAAGGACATAGCAGTGAGACCAGTGGAAATGAGGAATGGCTTAAAAGAAGACAGTATGCCTTTCCCCTCTGGTCTCTTTTTGTTTTTATGGTTATCTGCTTTCCAGGAGGCAGAAGACTGCCCTTCTCAGGTCTCTGCCAATGTGCATACATGGCAAAAGGCAGAAAGAGCAAAGCAAAGCGGCAGAACTCCACGTGGCCAGTGCAGACGAACAAGCAGGGTTTGTCTGAGCCCGAGGATCTGCTAACACCACACACAGCTATAGCACTGATGACGAGGGCAAACAGGATGGGGATGTCACCAGGCTGTACTTCAGAAGAGAAAATCAACTGCTTCTGACCCAGAAGAAAGTGGCACAGTCTGTGCAAGATAAGCACACACCTTGTCTGTGTTACACACACAGAAAGGTACTTTTTAGGGGAATTTGGTAAAGGGCCACCCCTGAACCAGCTGCTCAGGGACGCTGTCACATGCTACCGGCTGTGTCCCGGGCTCCGAGCCTCAGTGCCTGTCGAGCATTGTATGACCTGGACACACAGACAGTTCACATCCATGTTCAGGAGTGTGGCTGTGATTTATTCACTCCACTCACTAACCCAGAAGCTCCACACCTCTCTGCAAAAAGATGGGGAAGTCACTCCCTCCAGAAGTGACCAGATGTCCTAACTCTTAAACAGATTTTCAAATTATTTCCTAAAATCCATTTTTCTCTTGTAAGCTTATACCTTACCATGGCTTCTCACCTGGACATGCCTCCCTCTTTTTAAAAAAATTAAGATATCATTCACATACCATAAAATTTAACCTTTGAAAGTGATTTTTTTTTTTTAGTATTTTCACCAGGTTGTACAAATCACTATTTAATTCTGGAACATTTTCATCACTCCAAAACTGACCTGTCCACTTGACAGAGCTACAGGATTACAGATCTTTGAAGAAGTAGCAGACATTAAGTTACTAAAAAAATCTGCTATGGTGTGGCAGAAAGTCCTGGTTTTAATATCAAGTTAGTTATAGCTTAATTGTAACTTTGTTCTCTTGTTACATAGTATACTTTGAAGTATATCTTCAAATCTTTAAAATGGCAATATATGTGCAACTTGAAAGGTAACAGACAGACTTTCTATTTAAGGAAATGTGGTTTGGAGGTAGGAAAAAAAATCTGGAAAGCTCCTTAGGGTGTCCACACATGCAAGAGAAGACAAAGCGAGCCTTTCTTACCCCTTTCCTCTTCTTTCCTGGCTCTCTGCTCCCAACTTTCTTTCCCTCCGCTTGCAAACCCAGTTCTAGGATGAACCCTCTCATGAGAGGACATTGTGACCCTCCCAGGCCTTGCTCAGCACGTGAAGCCTGCTCTGTGCTGGACTCACTCGAACCCTGTCCCCAGTGCCAGCAGCGGGCTCCCTGGCTGGCTCCCGCATGGCAGTCAGTCCCTGCGTTTCTTAGGAAGTCCAGTTCTTCTGATGTTCCAGTCCGTCTTGCTTTGCGAGTCCTCTGAGGTCAACCGTACTTGTCCCTCGCTGCTACAGGACAGACTAGCTATTTACTGCTCCTGACTCCCAGATTTCACCTGAGCCTATGATGGATCTCCTTGTCTCTCTACCTGGACAGCCTGTCAGGTACATCTTCTGGGGTCATTTCTTGGTATATGAATAGATGTCCTTCAGCCAGACAGCTCGGTCCTTGTGCCTTCCGGTCTGACCCCTCCTTCTGTCCATGGTATGTCCAATTCTGATGTCCACCATCTCACCACTGGCTATCCTGCCCACCAGCAGATGGCAAGAACCCATACGTGGCTCAAGACCCTCCTGACAGTGGCTCTACCCTGCCCTCTTTGGGCCTCTGACTTTCCCTTACAACCATCCAGAATTTGGGCCTGACTCCATCCTCCAAGACCCCAACTGTCCCCACAGTTGCAAAGTGGTGGATTACTATTGATAGTAATCCTAGTAAAGCAATAATTTGATAAAAGCACGCTCCTGCTTAAATGTCCCTAAGTAGTCTCCCAAGGAATGGGGGAATTTAGGCCTAAGGCTGCAGCTTTTCAGATAATCAGGTGGCTTTGTCAGCTACTGTGTTGCCTCTCTTTCCCCAAGATGCAGCAATGGAATGGTGTTGACACTGAGTTGAGATGCACAAACTTTCACTCACCTTTAAGATTGTATGGTTTCCTTCTAATACAATAGAGTCAGAGTTTTTTAATCATAGCTGTCTTCATGAAGCAATAAAGCAGAAAACACTGAAAGTTTTTATCTTTTGAGTAGGAGCACAGTCACATGATCCAACAGCCTATTTGAGGAGAAGTCTCTCCCCCTCTCCCAGACATCCGTCCCTCTAGGTAGCCAATGTTACCTGTCATTTTGGGGGTCCATCCCTCTGGAAGCAAAGGGAGAACTAATTTGTGATCTAAACAGGGGACAATTCTATATAACAGGTGCCTTGGAGGCCAGCTGGGATCAGGTCTATTTCTAGTTCTTGTGTTTTCAGGAATATAATTTGACTGAAGGTACTCAGGTATCTCATAATAAATAGCCATGCGTTGACAGGCTACAGTTCTTGATCAATGAGCTACAAATATGCTGTGTGGTCTGTACAATTTACTCCAGCTAACCTTTGTTTCCTAATAGATCTCTCCTGAATTAGTAAGGAATATTAGAGTCTGTTTATAGCAAATATCCTCTAAAACTCCCCCCACAAGTTCCTTGGTAACTCTTTAAAAAAGGAGTTAAAATAGCAAGATAATTCGGCTTCTTTCACCTCACTTTCTGTGTCTTGTGTACATTTGTTTCAGGGCATCCAGGCTGGTGTTTATCTTAATGGTGACAGACTCTTCCAGAATTAGCATGCCCACAGTCTGTGCAAGGCTTTGGAAAGGAGGGCCGAGATAATAAATTATAAATAAAATGTCTCTTTATAAAGCTATGTGGATGTGTTTCCCTATGCAAAGCCATGTTGGGTCTAAATCTGAAAAACCATAAGCTAAAGAAACAACATTTCTGCCAGCAGAGCTGCAGAGACAAATGGGTCTGTATTTGGAACACTGAAGGGAAGTTTGGCTTAAATATTTATTTTTTCATGCTGTTAACCCAATTGTAGTGAAAGTCATTATGGATACTAAAATTACTTTCTTGCTCTACTGAAAATTCATGCTGACATAAAACATAGCAGAAAGAGGCTTGGCCCCTTCTGTCAAATCAAGAGTTAAAGAACCTAACCTATGAGACCGATGGAGGGGTTTTCCATAGATTTTTATGAAATATCATCTGTGACTATAATTTCAGTAAGGATGATATCAAATTTCTGAGTGTTACAGTAGAACTGAAACGTGTGGTTTTTGTTAAGAGAGAAACTATTAATTGTGAAAATAGCACTTCACTTAATAGTCCTGCTGA